GATGAGCGTTTAAGTCTCGTGATACCGTCAAATTTCATCTCAACCTGCCACATAAAAGCTTAACTCATCCCGGCTGGAGTGGAGTGTAGTTTCCACCTCGTGTCACCGTCTCATCGGTCCCTACAGCGAGATTCGAACTTGGATCTTGAGTATGGTGGCGATGCTGCCACACCACTACACAGCAACAGGTACCAGTAGGTCACAGAGCAGCTTCAGCATCCAGGGCTAGCCAGATCACTACCAACTCATGCTTCATAGTGGGATTGTCATTAGGTCCATATGTATTTGATAATTCAATTGACGACGTTACTCACTTTACATATGAGTAGTATAAATTAAATTAAATTACTAAATATAATAATAATATTTTTCGTATGTAAGTAGAGTTTCGAGACTAAGAGTAAATCAGTAATGTGAGATGTATTCACCATATTTCGTTTAAGATGATGAAGGACTGGTAAAAGCATTTTCCCACAATGATATGAGTAGAGCTTTCCCAAAAGTTGTTCTCATCCAGGCAGAAGTGGACGGCAGTTTCGACCTCGCATAGGTCTTATCAACACCACTAGCGTGGTGTCCAGCAGTCTATTCTGGATGAAAACAACTTTTTGGAAAGCAAGGCTATGTGAACTCGAATGGAAACGTCAACTCAACTCATATGATTGTGGGAAAATTCTTCTTATACCAGGCCTTCATCACCTTAAACGAAATAGGGTGAATACATCTCATATAATAATAATAATAATAATCAATGCAATTGATTGATATAACTAAATTAATTTTTTATCTACTTAAAACTAACGATGACAAAGACAAATGCACATGTACATATATTTATTGATTTGGGTCGCCACTTCGGACACAATGATACTGCTAACGCAAAACTACGAAAGAGGCAGTTTCTCAAAGGCTTAGGCTAATTGTTTCTTGTGAGCTCAAAAGGCTAAATGTGAATATATTAATCGAAACCCACTTGTAACTTTTTTGGTGTATCAATATTTTCGATATGTGAAGCTTTACAATTTGCCTGAATTTTCAGTCGAAACGAATTCTTCCAACTGATTAACCATTACTTCGTCAGTCTCGTTTCCATCCTGCGAAAAAGTCCCAGTTTGAGCGATTTGCCAGATCGGTTTCGAGAGCTGTGTCTGTCGAGCTGTTGTGGCGCCGGCATTCATTTTATTCATATTTTAGGTTTGATGGCTCGACTGACAAGTCATGGAGCAGATACAAGACTGGTCGGTTGGCTCTTTGCTGGAAAAAATGCTTGAAACTTCAATACCACGACTCCCTGTAACCCCCATTATTTTGCCTTGTTGACAAGAGATAAGAGATGGAGAATTTTCGATGGACCGTATCTGGTGATAGCTTCATACCATTAATATAATGCAGCCGGTATATTCACGCAAAAACAGAGCTGCTGATGCATGTTGATTCCTTTCGTAATCACCAACTGGCCAGTTATTCAATTTAATGCCATTCCAGTCCAAGTCAGTCTCAGCCTCTGTTTTGCCCTAATTCTAACTTAAATTTCCCACTTTTTGCATGCCCCAGTGCGATGAAATAGCACTCAAACAAAATTGCTTGCTTATAATTGCTATTAAATGACACATTTTGCAGATTCTTTGATTGTGCAACAAAATGTAACCAATACTCTTTCATCGCCTTAAGCGATATAGAATGAATGACATTCTTACTCCTTTAAAAATAAGTTTATAACTGACGATTAATAATGAGATTATATTTAATCATCGTTAGCCTCTTCATGAAAACCCTTTTTTCAGACGAAATTGCAGGTCTCGAACGCGTCAAACGCTTACCCCTTTCGCGCCCGACAACCTCCGGCCGCCCGGCGGCTGCGCCACCCGTTCTGGTCACCAGCCACCGCGAAAACAGTCTGCCTGGCACGATTCTCAGTCTTGAGGCAGGTTGGGCTGAGCTGATGTCTCATGTGGGCAGACTGCATCTGCGACAGCTTCGATGCCGACAGCAGGAAACGTCAGTGACGCTTGCCGCGGCCAGTTGCAAGGAAACACCACAGAAGGAAACAGATGATGGACCAGATAAGACAAATGACAAAGAGAAAGCACTCGAACCGGCAGAAACGGAAGAGAGAAAAGGAGAAATGCATCATAACGACCATCTACATCTCCAGAGCAGCATTCAGTATCAGAAACATTGCCGGCTTCCGGATACTCTGCCCCAGAAACTGGATGCCAAAGATCATTGTTTGTCTGCAAATCCACGTCATTGCCATAACAAGGCTTTTACAAAAGATAGCGACAGTAATGCTGTTCACCATTCGCAGGACGTTAATCCGCCTCCTCCCCACGCACACCATCAACATCGTCATCATGTTCTTCCACACAAGTCTGAAAGTCGTCAACGTCAGCATCGCCTGACTCAACACCCATGCCCACCAGAAGGGCAGCTGACTGAGACCAGTAAGTCATCACCTACCACCTATTCAGAATAGGATGTGTTCGGTGAGGGATAGGGAGACACTTTTTCGTCTATCGCTTTCAGTAAGTAGTCACATCAGGTATAACTTTTATATGAAAAATAGCTGGTTCATTGTTTTTCCATCGCAAATCAAAACACCCGCAAATATGAACGCTCACGTCAATTTCAGGTAAAAGCGAGGTATGAAGAGATTCACTTCCGTTTATAAGGTGCTAAGTTTTCCTATTTCACGTCAAGTACATCGTCAGGACAGGGTTTTCTTATTCATACGTTTTCAAACTGACTCATCCCTTATGCTGCATACACAGTCTAGGAATTGGCATTTTGATAAGGTATAGAGCGATTTGGTTAGATCAGGTCATATGCCAGTGTAATAATATGCTCATGTGTTTGCTTGTGTATGCTCATATGTCTTTATGTGTACGTATATGTACAAATCCAGTACAGATATTTCGATGTAATTAGAACAGAATAAAAATCTACATTCGATCCTCAAGGTTTAACCCCCAATCCCTTTTGCTTTATATTGTAATAACAAATATACTCCAAGCGATTCCATGAAAGCCAACTTTTCTTCTCAAAGTATTCCCGAAAACCCACATTTTATGGATTATCTTGGCCCTCAGGCCGACCCTGTCTTTGCGATTATTGGCCAAAAGGGCTCCTTTCTCCTTTTAACGGAGTATTTTATACGAACCTTTACAAGAGTTGTACACCTTGACACTGTTTGGTGC